GGCCTCCTCCAGGCAGCCTCCCAGGACTCCCTCTGCTCAGAGGAGCCTCACAGCCCCAAACCACAGCAGCCGACCTCGCATGTCCTCAGGACGATGATCCCAAAGCAGGGCCCCTAAACTGTTTCAGCTCCTCACCCAATGCCTGAATTCTTTCTAGACCAGCTTGTGCTTGTTCACCTCCACTGACGGGAGCCTCATTGCCTCCAGGGACAGCTCTTTTGCCTGGACCAGAAGGGGTTCTTTTTATTGCGCCAAAAGCATGTTGTTTTCATTTCTACCCATTGATGAGTATCTGTTTAATAATAGCTGCTACTAGTAGGCGAGAGTACCTAACGTCAGCCACTCTACCTGCATCACCTCATTTAATCCTGTCAATGATTTTGAGGGGTTGTTTCAGGGATAGGGAAATTGAGGCTAGAAGCAATGAAATAACTTGGTCACAAGGTCCAAGTCACACAGTGAGTGAGGGGTAGATCACTGCTTATCAGGCAGCTATGATAAGCCATGCCTAAAAGCCGGCACTCTGTCCACCCTCCAGCTTGACAAGGGCAGACTTTTCCACCAAGGCGATGCATCGGGCTGAAGATCTCAGGGCCGGAGAGATGAAAAGGGAGCAGGACGCATCAATCCGACCTGTAGTTTTTTCCCATGTGCCCCCAGCTCAGCACCATCCCCTTAGAATTCAGGAGGAAGAAGGAGGGAGTGAGATCAAGAAAGAAGCCAGAAGACTGAGGACCCCCGTGCGGCCCCTGTTAAGCCTTAGAAAGTAGTCACAATGGGGTGTACTCTCCTCTCCTCTCTAGGCTTAGATCAGGCCCTCCGGACCTAGATCACACAGGGATGCACCTCCAGGTTGCCTTCCCAGGACTCCAACTCCAGCTGCTTCCAAAGGGGGAGATTACAGGATTCCGTGGTTTTTCCATATTCTGTCAATCAGTCGGTCAACAACCTTTCTTTGAGTACTGGCCGTGTGCCTGGCCCTGTAGACACCAAGACAAACACCACACCTTTGGGGCTGCTTGGAATGAGGTTAAGAGTACAGTCACCTCCTCAGCTCTGCCACTTACTACCAGCTGTGTGACCTTCGGAAGACACGGAATTTATTTGTGCCAGTTTCTTCATCTGTTAAATGGGGGTAATGATAATGTATCTATCTACCTGGTGGTAAGCACTATGGAAGTGGTTTCTATTATTATTTTTCTTGTCCTCAAAGAACTCCAGGATAATGGGGGAGACTGATGTGTAGACCAACTGTCAAGGCGCCAAGGGTTAGAGCTGGGCACGGGGCACCCTGGGAGGCCAGGGGAAGGGCTGCTCCCTGGCCTGCACTTCATAAACATTTATAGAGAGCCGCTCTGTGCCAGGCGCTGTGCTGGGCGTTGGGGACACAGAGATGAACGGGACACATTGTCCACTCATCTGTGTTCCTCGCCTCTCTCCAAAGGCCTAGGCCCGGAACCCTGCACTGAGGGCTGGGAGGGGTTCGGGGGGACACCATGGACAGAACTGAGTGGAGAAAATCAAGGCCTGGAAATCAGGACACCTGGGTTCATGTCCCCCACTCACGGGCTACCTGACCTTGGGCACTCTCTGGCCTCAGTTTCCCCACTGTAGCATGAAGGAGTTGGACAAGATGACCCCTCTGGTCCTGACCCACTCTGACAGGTGATGAATAACCCCACTCCCACAGAGCTCGACACTCACCCCATGTGCAGTCCCCAGGCCATCTCAGCCCACTGGCCGGCCCACTGAGGCAGTGGGGAAGAGATATCTGCCTGGTGCTGACTGGCACTGCCTTGCTGAAGAGCTGGCACAAATTCACATGAAATAGGGGGGCCTGGATCTAAAGGCGGGGTTGTTTGAAGGGGTGGGGGGTGCTGGGGAAAGGCAGAGCCAGCTCCCACAGGCCCTATTCATAGCTCTCTCTGCGGAGGGAGACAGAGCAGGATAATTAAAACCGGGCTTTGTCCAAATCCCTGACCAAGCCAATATCTCACCTTTGAACCCCTGCAGCCACCAGAGCAGGGCTGATGGCCCTTTAGAAGGAAAACACCAATGAACTGAGCCACTGCCCAAGTGCTGTGGGCTGGCATGGGGTGGGGCGGGGGTGTGTTGGGGGAGTAAATGACCTGATTCCAGACCGGCCAACACGGATGGGCACCTGAGGCTTCACCATCCTGAGGCCTCCAGGGCCCTTCCCGGTACCAGCTGGACAACAAGCATCCCAGCTCCAATCCAGCGAGAGGTTAACCTTGTCCTTGGGCTGTGTCCAAGATGGACCCAGATTCAGCGAGGAAGGGACAGCAGGGCAAGGGAGGTCCCGAGAAGCAAGAATGCAGGGTGAGTGTGGACTCTATCTGGCTCTGCCACTTGTCAATGATGTGATTTCGGTCAAGCTATTAGCTGTCTCTGCCTCTGTGTCCTCAACTGTGAAGTGCGGATAATAACGGGACCCACATCACAGTAGTGTTGTGAGGATAAAATGAGGTAATTTATAAAAATGCTGGCCCAGAGCAATTGCTACCTATCTCTTAACTCTCAGCTGTATTAATAAAGCAACTCCCCTCCTCTTTAAAAACACATCCCCCCCGGGGGGGATGGGCATGGAGGAGGACACTTGTGGGGATGAGCACTGAATGTTATGTGGAAGCTAATTTGACAATAAACTATTTGTAAAAAAAAAAAAAAAAAATCCCCCTCCCCTTCCCCCCCCACCCCCGCACTAATGTATATACTCATTTGAATATATTTGCATCCCCTATGACTCTCTCCAGAATCCTGCACTAGAAGCCAACATCATGGGGATCTACCTAACCCATGTACAGAGGCAACCTCCTTGAGTGACGGTCCAGGCCAGACTGGCTCGCATGCCTCTCCCTACATGTTCCCCTGAATAGCTAACTGCAGTCCCTCGTACTGTAACGTACTCCGTTCTCCTTCTTTGTAGTCTTTTTTAACCTTATATACCATGCAGTCTCTCTAGGTCTCCCTGCTATGAAAGATGAAGAGATCAAGGTCTCGGCCCACTCCTGCACTGGCCTGTTCTGCACCCAGCACCCTCACTCATCCCCACTCCCATCCCTGGAGAAAATGCTGTACCCCTGCTGTACCTCTGCGGGACCAGGTAGGCCTCCGGCTCCCATTCCCATGGGCTCAGGAGCAGCCTGATGAGGGAGCAGAGAAGTCCCCATCCAGGCAGCCCAGGACAAGGGATCCTTGAAAGCCTGTCCCATTCCCCATGGTGCCCCAAAGCCACCTTCCTAACAGCACTCCCCTCTCCAAAGCTTCACCTAATGCCAGGATTCTCATCAGGGTACTCAGGGTCTAGCCCGGGCAATATCGCTCTGTAGTCTCAGACCCTGATACCCACGCTGCCCACTCACAGGGCTTCTGGAGGGCCTGGAAACCAGCACTGGAGGTAAGGGATTTACTGCTCTCATCATTCCCAAGGGGAGCGCAAGGCCTCAGGTGCAGGAACTGGAGTCTCCGGGCACCGAGGGGTAGACCCAACCACCTTGTGAGCCAGTGGAAGAGGCTGGGATGTTGGGGGGGGGGCGGCCTTTGGGTTGTGTTTGGAGGCAAAATGACTGGTTATGTAATGGAGATTCAAATCGCATGCCAATGAGCACATCTCAGTGAGAGCAGCCACTCTGGGGAATGAAGCTGTTGCCCTGGCAGAGGGGGACAACCACAGGGAATCAAACCGCATTCACCTCCAGCTGGGCCGGGGGTGGGGGTTTGGGTGGGGGTGGACATGTGGGGGGTGGAGATGAAGTCTGCATTGGTGAGGGGGAGAACCCAAGGGACTCAGGCTTAATGACCTCCACCCCCACCCCCTGTCCATCCTGAAATTCAAGTTTGTAATTGGGAAACACTGGCTGAAAGGGGCAGGGAGAGTCCAGGAAGAGAGATGCAGAGGGAGGGAGAAGGGAGCATACATCCAGCTGCTGGGAAACACACCAGTCTCAGAAAGAGTTAGCAAAGCACCAGACCCCAGCGCCAACAAGGGATAGTGGGGAGGGGAGGCAGCCAGCGAAGAGCCTTAGTAAGTCCTCCAGCCTTGTCAGAAGAGGAAGAGGCCTCAGCCCAGACCTTGAAAGCAGCAACGTGGACCCCTAGGGAACTTTTCCACACTGGGAAAGAACTGGCCTGACAGTGTCCAGCCCTTCAACTTGGGAAGGAGGGTGTGGTGTGTGTTGGGGTGCTCCGGAGCTGGGGGCAGCCAGGCTCAGAGGTAGGGGGCTGGCTCCAAAGGGGCCCTGAGGCCCTTACTGGCCCATCCCCAGCTTCAGCAGCTGGCAGATGAAAGAACTCAAGCAAAGCAGCCCAGCGCTGAGTAATGCCCCTGGCACCCCGCGCCCAGACCCACCCACAGCCAGCCCGAGGGGGCAGAAGGGACGGCGGCGGAGCCCTCGGGCCCCGGGATCCGGGTCCCAGGAGCCAGTGGGGCTGCCGACCCAGCTCCCTGAAGCTTGTCGTGAGGTCCGGCCGGGCAGGGGGCGAGTGTGGCGCAGGGAGGGGGGTGTCCGGCCCCAGTGGCCAAGGACATCCCGCTCCGGGAACCCCCTCCCCCACTCCCTCTCCCTCCAGCTGTGCCGGGGCCTCGCCAACGGAAAACGAAAACTCGGGCAGAGGAAACGGCGGCAGGCGCCCCGCCTGAAAAACCCGGACAAAAGGCGCGGGCCTCCCGCCCCCGCTGCCCGGCCGCTGGGGGCCTGGCACGGCCGCCCGGGTCGGTGCCCTCTGCCCTGGCAGCCCGGTGCGCGTCCCGGCCCTTGCGCCTGCCTTCCTCCTCCCGCCCCCCGCCCAAGGCAGCTCTCGCTCCGACTCCCTCACCGGCCCACCACCAGCCGAAGTTCCCAGCAGCCGTGCCCGCGGTGGCCGCACCGTGCGCCCCTGGCCGTGCCCGCCGAGCGGGGGCGCCGCGACCCCAGCCGCCCGCAGCCAGCTCCCCCCGGCAGCGCCTGGATCCGCCCCCTCCCCTGGCCCAGCGCCCTCACCTGAGGGGGCCGGGGCTCCGGGCGGGGCGGGATCCCGACCAGGCAGAAGGCGACTCCATTCATCGGGCGGCAGCGGCGGCTCTGCGGCCAGGGCACGGCTGGGGGCGCAGGCAGGGACCCAGGAGGGGCGGGGCCGGAGGGGGCGGGGCCGAGCGCGGAGCGCCCCCACCCCCGGGGGCCAGTCCTTCGCTCCTCCCCCTGCACTCGACGGGGCTCACCCGCCGCCTCTCCCCCAGGGCAGCTGACTGGTAAAGGGGGCTCGGGCGGGGGTTTGCGCTGGCAGCGGAGCTAGAGGGCAGTATAGCCTGGAGAAGAGAGGGGGTCTCAGGGAGACAATTTGGACTAGCCTCCCGGGAACCGGCCCAGATAGATGGTGATCCTGGCTGGCCCAGGAAAGAGGCCAAGGGCACCGAACCCAAAACTAGCACAGGGAGAGGAAGGGAAGGAGGAGGGAAGGGAGAGAGAAGCAGAGAGAAACAACCAGACAGAGGTGGTCAGAAACAAAGACTGAGGCACAGGAAGCATGAAAGAGGCAGAGACAAGATAAAGACAGAAGAGAGCCCCAGAGAAAAGTCAGAGACAAAGATGAAGAGACCCAGGATTGAAAAGAAGAAAAGAAGGAAAAAAGCTTACAAAACTTTTGCATCCGAGACCCATGGAGACAAGAGCAGAGATGGTGATGCCCATGGGGGTGGGGGCGGGAGAGAGCTTTCCGGGGCTCCTTGCCCCATTATCTAGGGCCCCCATCCCAGGCAGAGTCTCAGCCCAGGACCCCAGGGAGACAGAGGAATGGAGGCTGGAAGGAAGAGGCTGGCAGGTGCCCCAGCCCTTCAGACCCCGAGCCAGCCAGCCTGGGACTCAGGCCTCTGGACCAGCCCACAGATCTGCTCTGCAGTAGACAGCTGTGAGAGCCCGGATGCCCCCAGGCCTCCTGGTTACACGCCCTCCATGGCCTCCCTTTGGGGCTTCATTCCAAACAGGCCCAAAGAGCCACGGGAATCTTGAGCCAGTCCACTTCCTTGCCCCCAAGCAGGACCCCTTCAGGTCATCTCCTGACGAGCCAGGAAAAGATAGTCCCTCAGTCCTTCTATTTCTGCTGGAAAGTTCTTTCTGCTATCTAACTAACATCCTTTTTTTTTTTTTAATATTTTTTATTTATTTCTAGGAGAGAGAGAGAGAGAGAGATAGCGTGAGCAGGGGAGGGTCAGAGAGAGAGGGAGACACAGACTCTGAAATAGGCTCCAGGCTCTGAGCTGGCTGTCAGCACAGAGCCCGACGTGGGGCTCGAACCCACAAACCGAGAGATCATGACCTAAGTGAAAGTCGGACGCTTAACCGACTAAGCCACCCAGGCGCCCCACTAACGTCCTTCTTACTTTCTATTTCCTACAGCCTATGCTTACCTCTTTCCCATGCCTTCTTGCAGTTTTAAAGGGCTCCTGTATTCCTTCTCCCAGGTTATGAAGAAAGGACAGCAAAGGCCACCGATAGTTAGGAATATGATTTGGATATAAGACGGGCAGTGAAAGTGGAAGGCTGACTCTAACTACTGGAAGCACCCACCCCCTATGGGGCAAGGAGACTTCACAGAACCTGGTTGCTTCACCACCATCACCAACCCCAAGTCCCTGCAAGATCAGGGACTCAGGTCCTGGAGGGGACAGAGTGGCTCAGACACCACCTGGGCCACCCCTGCTCCTGTGAGCCAGAGGAAGGAGACGCTGACTTATTTTTAAATCTTACGTTTTATTTCATTTCTTTTACATTCCCTGGAAGTCCATGGAGAGGGATGCTTTTACAATGATGGAAGGGCACTTAATGACTCCTCTTCCTTCCCCTCTCTCTCCATCAAGGTCGTGTACAGCTGGAATTATCCCCCACTTCTGAGAAGTCCTTCCTGCTATCTAACTGTAATCCATCATACTGCCTGTATTTTCTTTCTTGGTTTTCAACAAGGTTCCTCCTTTTACCTCTTTCTGTCCCGTAGTTCCAGTGGTTCAAGGCTTGCTGCCACCCTGGCTCGGGGGTCCTTTTCTCTCAGAATAAATGGGTTGTCTATGTGAGGGGGAAGCGGTAGCAGAGATCCAGACTGAACTGAGGCTGTGGGGGAGGGGAGAAGGGAGGTGACCACTGGGGTGCCCATGGCTCACTTTTTCCAGAGCCCGATGCCCTCGACCCTGCGGGAGGCAGTGAGAGGAAATGAGCTCACACCGGCCAGCAGATGAATTCCTCCCTCCACAATGCACTGCGCTCACCTCCCCCACCCTCTCCCACTTCCCAGAAAGTGCGCTCTTCCCCCACCCAGCTGCCCTTCCCACCTCTTCCTGCACCTTGGCCGGCACCCCCATCCTGTCCTGGCCCTCCCCCATCTATTTTCTTCAGCCCTTCTTCCCGTCCTTTCCCTCAGACTCTCCGGGCCACACTCCCTGGTGCCCCCACCCACCCCCAAATCCACTCTATTCCTGGCGCACTCTTGCTCTGGGAGTCCTAGAAGTAGAGCTCAACAGGTGAGGAAGGTGTTCCTCACTGAGGACCCTCCTTATACTTCCCCTCTTTCTAAGCTCCTCCCCCAGCCCAGTCACCTGCCTCTGTTCACAAATGCTTACCGGGAACCCTAGTATATGAGGGGCTGAGGGAGTGGAATCCCCCTGGGAATATGGAGATTAGACCTAGCTCCTTCCTCTGAGGAGTCCTCGGCTTCACCAATCCTGAGATCTCCGAAAAGGAGCAATGGAAGGCTAGAGAAGCTGAGGAAGGCTTCCAGAATGTGTGGCCTTGAGCTTTATGGTTGAGGGGGGCAGTGAGGTGGAGTGGGGTATGGTGGGGGGGAAGTGCTCCAGGGAAAAGGACTACCATAGACAAAGACAGAGAGGCAGGAGAAAGCAGACCCTAGTGGTGTGGCTGGCACCAAGCAAAGGGTATGGAGGGTACAAATGTGGGCAGGAAGCATGGAGGGATGAGGAAGGAAATGTGGGCGGGGATATGACGATGGAGTGACTGGGCCTGAGGCATTTTGATTCTGGCCTGGGCCGGGGGCAGGGATTTAAGCAGAGATGTGCCACATTGCAGAAAAGAAGGAGGGCAACAAAGACGGGGGGGGGGGGGGGGGGGGCGGGTGCAGGGGATACTGCACCAGGGGAGGGGCAAGAAACATCAAAGACTCCCAGGAAAGGACTGGTGGCCAGCTGGGTGCTGGGGGAAGGAGAGTGTTCTCAGGGAGAGGGGGCCTGCCAGGCTCTGTAAATCCTTTGTATGTATTATTCCAATTCAGCCTCACAAAGGAGCTGTGAAATAGATACTATAATTCTCATTTTATGGATGAGGAAACGGAGGCCCAGAGAGCTTGAATCTCTTACCCAAGTCCACCCAGGATCTGAACCCAGGCATTTGGGCTCCAGAGTCCACACACTTAACCCATAGGCTGTGTTGCCAGTGGACATCTCCCGGTAGAGAGGCCTGAGCTGGGGACATGGCTTTGGAAATCACCAAGAGACCAGGAGTGTGATTCAGATTCTCCAAGGACACGTGACAGGACACAAGGAGCACCTCGCCAGTGCATGAGCCTTTAGGGGCAGGTGAGGGAGGAAGAGGCCATGAGGAAGACAGAGACAACAGAGTGGAAGCAGGTGGCCAGAGGAAGTGGCGCTGTGCTGGGCAGAGACTGGAGGAGGCAGAGGCCAGATTACACAGGGAGAAAGAGCATCAGGGGTGAGGAAGTGGAATCAGGTCTATGGACATACCACCCTGAACGTGCCTGATCTCGTCTGATTTCAAAAGCTAAGCAGGATCGGGCCTGGTTAGTACTTGGATGGGAAGAAGTGCAATCAGCCTGGTTAAAAACCTTAGCAGCACTCAGGGCACCTGGGTGGCTCAGTCGGTTAAGCATCCAACTCTTGATTTCAGCTTCGGTCTTGATCTCATGGTTCGTGGGATCGAACTCTGCACTGGGCTCTGCACTGGTGGCGTGGAGCCTGCTTGGGACTCTCTCTATCTGCCTTCCCTGCACAAGCTCTCTCTCTCTCAATAAATAAATAAGTAAACTTTAAAAAGTAAGAAAGAAGGAAGGAAGGAAGGAAGGAAGGAAGGAAGGAAGGAAGAAGGAAAGCAAGCAAGCAGCATAGGTGAGCTGTGGGCGAGACTTGGGTGGGAGAGAGCCCTGAGAGGGTGATGAGTTGATGAGTGGAGTGAAGGAAAAAGCAGGGCCTCCAGAGGAAGAACCTGTGTTCCCCACTGTCAGGGAGGAGTCCTCAGACCAGAGCCATCCACGGTCAGGGTCAGGCCTAGCCCAGGAGCCAGCTAGGAGTTGTATAACGTCACCAAGGAGCACTGACTCAAGAGTCCAAAGACCTGGGTTCACATTCCCATCCATTCCCCATCCTGCCCACCTGATGTGGGATTGTATGTCTTTGAGGAAAAGGACATTCTCTGAACCTGTTTCAATCTCTGTAAGACGGGACCAATAAGGCCTTCTCTGCCCGTCTCCCATTTGGGACTCACATTCGGTAATGGATTCAAAGCACACTGTGAGCTGAAAAGGAGAAACAGAGGATGGAAGAAGGTGGGCTCTGGGACAGGTGGCCAGAAACCTGGACGACAGCGGCTGCCCTTCCACCGAAGGGGAAAGAGCACCCCCTGGTGGAGAAGGGCGAAAGGGCAGGACTAGAGGGGAGAGTCTGTTCTTGCGACTCCCACTTTCAGCCCCCAGGTTGTCCTCTGCTTGTCCCCCAAAAGCAACCTACCCCCACCTAAATGTTCATCTCCAAATCAGGCGTGGGCCCAGTTCATTCAAGTCAAGAGGTGTTTATCAAGCGCTGATTACGTGCAAAGCGCTGTGCTGGGCGGTTGGTGTGCCTGTCCTCTTTGAGCTCATATTCTCCGTGCAAGCAGAGCACTGAGATAAACAAGAGGGCCCTCCTGTAATGAAGGCACAAGGCAGGGGCCCTGGGAGGCAGTGTTTGGCTTAGCCCTTGAAGGCCTTCAACTGGCAATGGCAGAGGAAAGGAGGCCCGGGGAGGAGGACGTGGGGCCCAGGGTCTGGCAGAAGCCCAGGGCATCCCACAGAGTG